CCGAGGCGTCGAGCTACCCGGATCCCCAAATTTTCGAAGATTGGGCCTAGCCCGAGACCGCCGAAGAGACTGCCCTCTTAAAGCTGCAACCTGAACTTCTAAATTTTCCTGGAATTTTAGGCCCCGGGTAGACCAAATCGAATTATTCGCCGGGTTCCAGAAATTTATCGAAAATCTTGGGGCTAGGGCGCTCCGAAGCGTGCTGCACTACATAGAGCAACTTTATCCGTAATATTTTTATAGAGTAGATATAAAAATCGAAAATAAATAAATGCATGCTCAAATTCCATTATATTATCTTCAAGAAAAAATAAGAATATTCATAATTATTAAATCTTAAAAAATTTTATCTGTACGAATATTTCTAAACAAATTCTCTTATATTAAAAATTCGTTAAATTATCTATTATGCTTGTTAAATCTAATAAATTAAAATTCAAAAATAAATAGGGTTATGAAATAAATAATATAAAATTTTCGTAATAAAAATAAAGAGGCCGAAAGATATTCAGAATCCCACGCATATATAGACCTTCCCAGACCGACTAGAAATCTTATCGCCGTGAGCACAACCCCCTCAAACTGGGAATATTTCTAAAATTACAGTACCGCCAGACAAATACCCAATAGATTCTGAAGAAGAAACATATCAAAAGGCCGCCAGGGACGCGCAAGCACGCCCGCATTCTGACACAAATTTCGGTAGAAATTGTTATTCTGAAAACCTTATCTAATTTCTAAATATTTGTATATTCAATTCTGATTAATATCATGTATAAGTAGTTAAGAACACCTCGCGAATTCGAGTTTTGCATATCTACAAGAGTTAGCAAAAACCAAAGATCAGCTCTTCAAGCCTTATTTCGCAAGTTTTCTGTGCCCCCGGTGATTTCGGTGATGTGTACATGCAAGTCTGTGCAAACTTTGTGCAAATGAGACCCTTCATCAATTCATGCGACTGGCACAGTGCGGCAGCCACAAATATCAACCCGTCCCAAAACCACAGGAATACTAGCTGGTACGAACTGCTATTGAGCTTTGCAGCAAATTTGCCGCTTGTGCCGTCCATACATTAGCACATTCGCAGGATGGAGATGCTGAGCAGCGCCGTCTGCTTCAAGCTGTCACTGCCTCACGACAAATGGGCTGCCGAGCCGGATGTGGAGCACCTGCTGGCAGCGCAATGATCATTTCCCATGTAATCCTCGGTCGCCCCTTCCGGTGAACCTGCTGTAACAATTACAACATAGGAAGCAAATATGCTATGCTGCCTTGCAGATACATCGACTGCACTCAAAACTTTGCGTTTCTGCTTCCGTCAAGCGAGGTGCTCGAAAATTAAAGGTAGAAAGCAATTGAAGAAGAATGAGACATGAGTCGGCGGCGCACAACTCCCGACATGAAGCATGTCACACTAATGAAGAACACAGTTTTCCGAGTGCCACGTAGGTCATTATAAGATAGGCTGCGGGCTCTTTCGTCTAAGGAGTCCCTCATCAAGAAAGGAACTGGCCTCAGAAACGAAGCCTACTCTGCGTGTAAACTGATCCCTCGGCGTGGAACGAATCAACCAGGAACTACTCAGCCAAGCGTGAGAGCCTGTATCGTGCGTGTTCCAGTACATGTCCTGGTCCGGAATTCTGAACTGGCATCCTCCGCAGCTGATGCTTCAAGTTTCGCTTAACGTCCAAACCTCTTTTGTCAGTCCTTTGGGGTCCATCTCGGCAGGGTTGCCCTCCTCGGATCTCGCTGGGATGCTTCCCTAGTTCTTCCTCTCCCTCTCTGCTCGCTTAGCTGTTGAGGCCCTGTTCCTGCTGCGTGACTTGAGGTAAGCCGCTCCAATGTAGGTCTTTCCCAGGTTGCTCGCCGCAATCTCACACTCCTCCTTAGTAGCAGTTTTCATCCAGTACGACAAGACCAGCTCATGCAGCACAGAAGCACGCAGGGCTTCTAGCGTGAAAGCCAAGATGCAGATTCCTCGAGAGGTTTGCTGCCGGGTGGGCAATCGTTGGTGTCGGCTTCACCCATGACAAATCTGGGCAGCATGGTCAGTAGCTTCTGATGTCATTGACTGCACGGAATGGACGGGGTCACATACCTCTTGTGCGTTCTTTCGCAGCCTTCCTTCGACACTTCCGGCCATAGCAGTCATTGCAAAAAATCTTCGAGCCAAGCTGCTTGGCCGAGGTCGCAGCAGAGGTGGCCGAGGCCGCAGCAGATGTGGCCGAGTCCTCTTCCGCACCCCGCAAGAAGTGTTTGTAAAACGAAGTGGCGCTTTTGGCCATGCATCCTCGCAGCACTTGTGCAGCCCTCTAAGTGAGTTGCCCGTTTCAATCCTATCAGCACAGTGTCTGAACTAGTTGATTTGCTGCATCCTAAACAACATGCCAACGGAAAGAGCAGTTTTGCCTGACCGTGTGACTGTGTACTACCCCATGAAATTGCGAACCCTCTAGCGTCCTTGTGCTCGGTGCTCGCTGCGGGGGCAGGCGTTGCGGGACTTTGCGCAGCACCCTCCTTGGCAAAGCGTCTTTAGCTCGTGGAACTGCTGAATTTGCCTCGAACACTAGAGTGCAAATGCTCACCATCATTATGGACATGTTGACGGCTTTCCCTCCTATGGTGGCGTCTCGTTTTCACGGCCGCCGCTGCTCACAAGTCGTGTCCGAAGCAAAAGGGTGCACGAAGACAGGGCGACCCATCGATTTCGGCTCAAGAAGAGCTTCACTTCCCCGCCAGCCAGCTCCGCTGACCGGGAAGGGTGGGAGGGAACCGAAAAACTGCGTCGTATGCCGTAAACATGAGGGAGCATGTTGACGGCTTTCCCTCCTATGGTGGCGTCTCGTTTTCACGGCCGCCGCTGCTCACAAGTCGTATCCGAAGCTAGTGCCGAAAAAGGGTGCACGAAGAAAAGGCGACCCATCGATTTCGGCTCAAGAAGAGCTTCACTTCCACTCTCAGCAGGGCCAGCCAGGTGCAAGAGGCAACTGACGAGCAGTCGAAAAATCAGGCCTGGGCGCCCGAAGGGCCGCGGCCTGATATCCAGAGTCCCGGCACGAGACAAAGAAGCCTAAAGGCTTGTCTGGAGCTTCGCAGAAAAACAGTCATAAAGCTTAGCAGCAGTCCGGATGCGAGTCCTACCATGTGTGGAGACGTCTGTCAGGGCAGTGACCGCCGCCAGCTCTTGAAGATAATGTTCCAAAGTGGCGGCATGTTTTAACCGCATGGCCCACTGAATCTCCCCAGGGGTGGCACCGGCCCGATATCTCTGCACCGCGCCTCCGCCGCGAAGCCCTCCTGGGGTTAACCCCAAGCCCTTGGGCACATCCAAGTGCCGGAGCAAAACGTCCCACCTGTAGCGGTAAGCAGCGGCAGACGCAGGCCAAAGATAATCATCGGGAGCAGCGCACGCAAAAGTGCGGCTGACAAAGCAAACTGCAGCAGCATCGACCACACGGGTGTGCTGGACCTTTGGCCGGCCGCGGGAAGAAGTTTTTGAAGCCCGAAAGTTGAGGTACACTGCCAGCAGGTCGTCATCCAAAAGGTCACTGGGTAGAATCAGGTCCCGCCTCTGACATTTCAAGACCTCGCCGAT